ATATTGGGAGACGCTAGCTCCGTCAACAACAGTGAGTGTGTGTGGGGGGCGATAGCTTCGTGGGTGCGGGGAGGGGAGCAGAAAGAGCGAGGCCAGCGAGTCCGCGGCTTCAAAATCCCAAAGTCCGTTAGTGCAGCTTTAAAAAGAAAGATAAACTGTTTTCAACATTGTGTATTGGGATTGGGCCGATTTCTCAGATCATATGGCCCTGACCTCTGGAGTACCACAGGGGTCGATCCTGGGACCTCTTCTGTTCAATTTCTACATGCTGCCGTTAGGTCAGTTAATACGCAGAAACAAAGTGTCCTATCACAACTATGCAGACGACACTCAGATCTATGTCTCACTGACTGCAGGAGAACATGGACCAGTGGACTCACTCCTTCACTGTATCCAACAGATCAGTGAGTGGATGCAAAACAACTTCCTTCAGCTAAAACTGAAATGATTGTCTTTGGATCCCAGAAACAAAGAGAGAGCGTCATCTGTCACCTCCAGTCTCTCTCCGTAAAACCTTCAAAGAAGGTCAGGAATCTAGGGGTAATACTGGACTCAGACTTAAATTTTAATAGCCACATCAAATCAGTTACATCAACCACTTTTTACCATCTAAAAACCATTGACATGATCAAAAACATAGTGTCTAAAGCAGACTTGGAGATTCTTTTCCATGCATTTGTCTCCGGTAGGTCAGACTACTGCAATGGCTGCTCACAGGTCTGTCCAAACAGGCTGTAAAACAGCTGCAGTACATTCAAAAATGCAGCAGCTCGAGTCCTGACTAGAACCTGGAAGTACGACCACATTAGTCCGGTCCTCAGGTCTCTGCACTGGCTTCCTGTGGCTCAGAGAATAGACTTTAAAACAGCTCTGCTTGTGTACAAGTCTCTCCATGGCCTCGCACCAAAATATATTAGTCACATGTTAGTCCCAACCAGCCCGGACTCTGAGGAGCACAGGGACTGGACTCCTGTTAGTGCCCAGAGTCAGAACTAAACATGGGGAGGCTGCTTTTCAGATTCATGCTGCTAAAATCTGGAACAATATTCCTGAAGATGTGAGACAGGCCTCCTCTCTGACAATGTTTAAAACCAGGTTAAAAACAATTCTGTTTAGCTGTGCATACAACTAAGGGATTTTATATTTCTATCTTTCTTTTTAATGTTCTGTGATTATTTATGATGTTAATGCTATTTTGTCTTGTTCAGCACTTTGAGTTACATTGTGTATGAATTGTGCTATACAAATTAGGCCCGGGGCTCGGGCCTAATGAAGCGGCTTCTTGTTGCTCTGACAATAGCTACGGGCTCAAAAGCGAAAGTTACTTCAACATGCAAAACAGAAACCTTACACTGGGGCACACTTCTCTGCTTGTATTTCCTAGTGACCCCTTGCATGTGACGTCCCGGCCACGCCCTCTCTCCATGACAGACGGCAGAAGTCTAACTGCGAGCCTACGGACACCTGACCAAAACAACCTGTTTCAGCGCATTACAGCCAAAACTGTGACATTTTGCAGTGCAGTTGATTATACCAACAGGCAAGGACATAAGCTTTTTTATCTGATACCTGCTCGTCATGAAGACAGAAGACGACGATGGCCAGCGGCCATCAACCAAAAGGACTAGGACCTATTAAGTACTCCCTAATACGCAGTGAACACTTTTTACAAGATAAAGCAATCACAAGTTTGTATTTATTTTATTTCCATTCATTTGGAGGACAATGACACATGTCAAACGTGTCTCTTACTACTGTCCTGTATGTGCGCTGCAACATTGACATTTTTATCTTTTAGTCAATTGCGTGTTTCACTATTTTCCTCTCCGTCAGTACGTATCATGTTTGGCTGTAGACAGAAAAGCCACAGAAAAGTGGACTATTGCGAATGCTACCAGAAAAATGTACATATAAATCTGCTCCAGTGTGAGGGGATGCATTGTTAACGATAATGATAAAGATCATTTAGGGAGAATTTGGGCAAAAATAGACATTTTATTTAATCGATGAAATTGACTGGGGGGATAAGGTATGGGTCAACATCCAGTTAGGCAATCCTTAACTTCTCCAAATACCACTCTTTGTGAGCCCTGACCTGATGTCCTACTTCCACCTATAACGTAATCGAACATGTGCTTGAAGCAGCCACTTCTCGATTTAGGAGAGGAAGCTCCGTTTTTAAGAGTTGTAGTCCGTTTTGCTCTCGCAGCAATGCTAGTTTCCAATACTTCCGCCGTAAGCTCATTCACAATCACGTGACTGGATGACGTTGATGCATCTGGTCAATACTCTCCTATAAGCGCAAAAGGCTCATGACGGATTCTCTCAAATTGATAAAACATAAAATTGCTCGAAAAAATAAACAATATTAGGCTGAAAAAAATAAGGTGCCTTGCATCCAATTGTTTTGATAAATATGTTTGATTAACAAAAAACATCTTAGTGCAAGTTGATGTGAACCATGAGTGAGGCGTGTATCTCAATACAACAGAAAAGTTAATTTCATTTTAATTCATTTATTGATTCATTTTAAGCAGATCACATGAATAATAATAATAATAATAAATGTAACAGCTGGACATAAGTACAGGAATTAGAAAACATCTGGGTCGAAAAGGCGTGGAAAGAAGACAACTTATTGAATCCCACCCCTATTGTCCATTGCTACGTTACAATATTAACTTAACTTAATTTCAGTGTTCTGACTTTCTGACTGTTGTTGAATGTGAAAGTGTCCTGGATCATCATCTCATCCTTTTTGCTGGACACTAACTGCCCAACAGACCCTCCTGCATCGGCAAGGAAAAACTCATAAAAAACCCAGTGGGAAAAAGTGAGAAACCTCAGGGAGATCCTTTTTTAAAGTTTGAGAAAGGGATCCGCTCCCACGGACGGACAGGCTAAAGATCCAGGACCTAAGCTACAAAACGTGGACCATCGGCCCTTGAGCATGGACAGGTCCGGTGCAGGACTGAAGTACTCCCAGGCGGGTCGTGCAGGGCAGTCCGCAGTACCTAGGTATCGTGCTTGATGACACCCTCACTTTCAAACCCCATATTCAGAATCTTGCAAAGAAGCTCAAACTTAGATTGGGCTTCTTTTTCAGAAATACTTTTGTTTTTATTTTTTATGTGAAAAAGCGGCTTTTCTTGCAACATTTTTAACTATTTTAGATTATGGAGACCTGATATACATGAATGCCTTTACTCAAAGTCTCCGTCAGATTGACACTTTGTATCATGCTTCTCTGTGGTTCACTACGATATGCAAAGCCTTGACTCACCACTGTGAATTATATTCTGGAGTGGGATGGCCTTCTTTGTCCAGCAGAAGGTTTGGACACTGGTGTAATTTAGTTTATAAGGTTATGCTTGGTCTGCTGCCCTCTTACATCTGTCGTTTACACACACAAAGAGTTGTTGGTTCATATGGTTTGCGATCAAATCATCTATATGGAACATGTTGCAAAAAGACTGGAAATTATCTGAATTTATTTCTTTGAATTCTTTTAGATCCAGATTGAGAGCACTTGAAACGTTCTCATTGAATTGTAACTGTTTTACAATCCGTAATTTTATGAAATTGTATGTAACTGTTTTATTATCTGTATGTTTTATAATTCGTAAAGTATGTAACTGTATGTAACCTTTGTCCAGAACTCCCTTGAAAAAGAGGTTCTTAATCTCAATGGGACTTTCCTGGTTAAATAAAGATAAAATAAAAATTAAGAATGTCCATAAAAAACATAAAGAAAAAAAAACACAAACAAGGAACTAAGTCCTGGACTATAGCGTCTAGCGTGTCTTATGGAAGCCAACAGACACTTGCAGCAGGGGTGGACACAATACAGCGGCCTGGGCCAACCGGGCTAACTGCGACCCGTCGGTCCCACTTTGGGCACCCCTGCCGAAGAAAGAGGCGACTATGACGTTCTGCTGCCGCTGCAGTCAATCACGTTGATGATCCATAAATGCATCGTTGTGCAGGGACAGAGCTATCTGTCCGCCGAGGCTCCAAAGGCGCCGAGGATTCACCACAACATCATATTTGTATACGAGGGAAAGTTGTATACAATGTTGATCACAAGTCACAGACAGAGTGGTGATGTTCAAAGCTTAAGAACACAAGGACACTTTACATACCTGATCACTGCACTCTCTTCTACATCCTCTCTCTTTCTCTTTTGGCCACAAGTAGGCGAAACCCCGAGAGTCTTTGAGAGAGAAGAGGGCGACCAAATACACTCACTCTCCAAACTATAAGAAAACATTTTAGAAAGTATTTGTCAGTAGCAGACCTTGTAGTTGCAATGGTAAAGATAGAGATTATACGGTATGTCAAGGGTCGGACTCTGAGCTAACATACTACCATTTGAGAAAACATTGGCCAAATACTTACTGAGGCTTATGGTGCAGTGCTGAGGAACCAGGAACCACTTGTGCCGGAGATGGTGCCGGACCAGGTGGCGTGTGGTATTTTTTGCCCTGAGAATCTCTAGACTCTGTAGAACTGGGAGAGAGACAAAGATGTGAATAATGTTCAACGACTACAGCCCTCAATTTCAATCAATGGGTTTGATATTTTAGATTGAGGTTGGAGAGTGGAGCTGACTTTGATACAAGTGTGATCGTGTGTGACCAGTGACAAATGTACATCACACTTCAAGTCATAGACAGAATGGAGAGGTTCAAAGCTTAGCAACACAAGGACACATCAAGAACAAACAGTGCATAGTTTACATACCTGATCACAATAACCAGATCCTTTCCTCTGAGCCTTTTCTCAAGATGTACTTCTTCATCCTCTCTTTTCCTCTTTTGGCCAGAAGTCTCTGAGAGAAAGGAGGGCGATTGACTCTCCAAACTAAAGGAAAAGATTTCATAAAGTATTAGTCAGTAGTAGACCTTGCAGATGCAGTTGTAAAGATGACACAGTATTATACAAGCAAGTGTCAAACTAGGAGCTAACATAGTACTATTTGAGAAAACATTGGCCAAATACTAACTGAGGCTTATGGTCCGGTGCTGAGGAACCAGGTGGCTTGTGGTGTTTCCTGCCCCATGAAACTCTTTGGCTGGTGCATCCTGGATGGTTGGAAGACTCTGTAGAACTGGGAGAGAGACAAAGATGTGAATAATGTTCAACGACTACAGCCCTCAATTACAATCAATAGGTTTGATATTTTAGATTGAGGTTGGAGAGTGGAGCTGACTTTGATACAAGTGTGATCGTGTGTGACCAGTGACAAATGTACATCACACTTCAGGTCATAGACAGAATGGAGAGGTTCAAAGCTTAGCAACACAAGGACACATCAAGAACAAACAGTGCATACTTTACATACCTGATCACAATAACCAGATCCTTTCCTCTGAGCCTTTTCTCAAGACATTCTTCTTCATCCTGTCGCTTCCTCTTTTGGCGAGAAGTCTCTGAGAGAGAGCAGGGCGATTGACTCTCCATACTAAAGGAAAAGATTTTATAAAGTATTTGTCAGTACTAGACCTTGTAGTTGCAGTTGTAAAGATGACACAGTATTTAACAGTCAAGTGTCAGATTTGAGGAAACATTGGCCAAATACTTACTGAGGCTTTAGGTGGTCAACTCTGGTACGGAGAGATGGGTTGATGAAGGGATGATCCAACATTGCCTGAGGGTCAATCCTGGAATCAGGATCCATGTCCAGCAGCCGTTTCATGAGGTCTACAAAGAGATGAAGATCCCCATGGTGGTGTGGATTCCTCTGAAGAGAACATAATGTCAGGCAGTGTATGTACCTCACCAATAGGGGGCGATACTGAGTATGACGTTTATACCCAAGTTGCTATCAAACAATAAGTCCTATCGGTGCTATTAATTTTCCTGGAAAACGGATGATTTGATTGAGGATTTTTTCTCAACTGGACTTTGAATCAAAGCAAGAAATAAAATAGACTGAGAGACTGCAGCTGGACTGACGGGGTTAGTCCAGCTGCGGAGGAGGAATTTGTCAGTCTTTGTGTTTTATGTGGAAAATTTACTAGATAGCTGCATAACAGTGCTTCCCCGACAAACATCAATTCAAACACTGCTCAAGAGTTCTGCAACTTGTTTAAATTCTTGTTCATGTTCGTCACGTATCTCAATGTGCATTGTAATTCTCAATGTATGCCTCTTACCATGAAAATATCCTCCAGTTTTTCAATGGGGCCTGGTCTCCTCATCTTCGCAGAACGACTTGATGACTGGGACAAAAGAAAGACAATGGAAAACTTTGTATTAGTGTTTTAGTTAAGAATAATAATCACTTATTTAGCTAATTTTGGAAACAAGAAGCAAAATAGGACAGGAGAAGAGAGCCAAGCTTTGAGGGGGACACTCTCAAAACTATGGTGTATTTCAACTGCAAAAAAGTCTGTTCCGTTGAAATTGTCCATACCTTGAGAATCCAGTTCTCTCCATCAGGACTACAGAAGTATTTCCGTGTATGCAGACCTGAGTCCAGCACGTGTCTGGGAGGCAGACCTAACATCTGGACAATCACTTCAATCTGTGGAAATAATGCAGTATTGTGTGTTAAAATCATCTTTGATGGCAACTGCATGGAGCTCTTATTGAATGAGCTATGGGATTAAATGGTTATCCAAAATCCAGTATTACACATCATTTCATCATTACCAATAATCTGATAATTTATACGGTCAAGCTTCAATAATTCTAAAAAAAATATTGTCTAATTTACTACTTATTTGCTGTAGTTGCACTTAGAGTTCCACTAATAGCAGTAGATGGACAACGTCTTTGAAAGCAGTCACACTCACCAGTTTACCAGAATTTGTGGGGTTGAAGAGCCGCTGTCCAAGGAACAACTGAGCAGCTATGCATCCCAGCGACCACATGTCCAAAGCAAAGTGCACAGGAGCTCCGACAGCCATTTCCGGGGCGCTGCACATACAGAAAATCAACAATTTACTGGTTTTATTACAACACTTTGGTTTTATATAGCACTTTCACATGGCAAACCTTTCAAAAACACACAATAACAACAAACACATCAGAGCAATTGGTTCAAAAAGGGTGGATGTCCAATGTCCATACATTTTATCAAAGGTTCATGAATGTCCTTAATCTACATAGATCAACACCTCTCTTAGACCCTCCTAAATCTAAACAAAATGAGAGACACAATGAGGGAAGATACACTCCCACGGACAGACAAACTCTAGATCCAGGACTCAGGCTGTACAACGAGGATCGAGACCACATGATGCAGGACTAGAATTACACGTCTGTTAATGTTCTTCTTCGTCCCTTTGACTGTCTGTCCCTCTTGTGTCCATGTGCCTGTGCTCTACTGTCCCTCACATACCTGTAGCAAAGTGTCCCAAAAAAAGAGCCCTGCTCCGCGAGATTTGCAGGACAAGCCAGTCCAAAGTCTACAATTTTGACCTGAAGGGGCTTCCTTACACAATCCACCAGCATTATGTTTTCCGGCTTCAGGTCTCCGTGGATCACATTTACGCTCTTTAGAAACTTCAAACCCTCGGCCATCTGCAAAGTAAAGTGCTGAGTTTGAAAGCAATCATAATAAATACTACATTTCTCCAAGTTAAGTTTTCATACTATACCTGTGTGAGGATTGGCCGGATGTGGTGGAGCGGCAGAGCCGAGGACTGTTCCAAAAAGTCTCCCAGACTAATATCCAGCAGCTCATACTCGTGGCAGACGTGGCCGTTAAAATTGAAACTGCAGAACCACTGGACGATATGGTGGGACGCAGATCCAAATTTGCTCAGGTAGCTCATTAAAGGACCCTGTAGGGGCGCACATGGAGAACCATTATCAATAGTTAGCATTATTCATTCCCCAACAGGGAATTAAAGTCTCATTATTGTTTCTTAGCAAGTGAGAAAGACCCACCCACGCTTAATCAACATGTGTTTCACTGTCTTACCTCACGATCAGGATTCTTCACCACCTTCAGTGCCACTTTCTGGTCAGCGTTGCTTTTGTGACAGAGGGCAACCGTGCCGTAAGAGCCTGAGCCCAGGATCTTCTGCACCTGATAGGAATTGAAGCCTGACGGGATGCTGCCCTTGGCCTTCACAAGGTCCTGAAACCACTTCATGGAGAGAAGCAACCGATGCTACCAGACGATGCACAGAGAAAAATATCTGTGGAAAATAACTAGGTTCAAAACAATCTTTTATGATTGAAGGTTCATTTTAGCGATACTACTTTGAGAATATTGTAACAATTATGTATTTTCAGCTGCTGTACACCTGAATTTCTCTCAAAGGAGACTCTAAAATGTTGGTGATAACATATTCTAACATTAACCAAATGGGCTGTTTCAAACTAAACACAGGCCTAACCTCAACCTGATTGTGAAAATATTTCTCTGCTCTGAATTAATAATCATCAAAGTCTAAAAGTCTAAAAACCGCAATTCTCTGTGAGTCTCGCCTGATGCAGATGTTTCGACAAAGTTCTGGACGTTTCGACTGAGTTTTGGACAAACTGAGATCCAAAAAACCACAAGACGCGCCGAAAATTGCTGAGAAAACAGAGACATGTGTTTCCGCTTCAACCGACAATACAATAATGACTGTATCTGTGTTCATGGCCTTAGTTCTCAAAGTTGGGTCACCATGGAGATACGGAAGGTTCCGCTGTTCTATAGAACCATGACATCGCCTTATACCATTACATCATTATACCTATGTTTTAATATGGCCAAAATTATGATTTTTAGCATCTTGTTTAGAGACTTTTTGAGTACTTAAGACATTTCAAAGATTGAAGTGACTAAAATGGGGCTCATTTCTCATCTTCTGAATTACCACAAACAGTTCATTACAACATGCATATTGTTTGGATTATTAGAATGTTGAATCAATATAATTATCAATGTCAAACTAAAGTTCTACGATTTGGGCTAAAGTACGTTCAAAGTGCTAAAATGACTTATTTCACTCATTGTTATTGCATGGATATGGAAAGATGCGCTGGGTAACGGCTGCAAGTCCATAGTAGCTCTGATTAAAAGTGGTTGTTTTGTGCTTTACAATTTTTATTTGTATTGCTTTTTTCTGCCTGAGATGTTGCTTCAGTACAGTGTGCAAAGTTTTGCACAGGTCCAGACCGGAGCAGAGAGGATTCCTGGTCCAAACCATGCAGATCAGGTGAAAATCCACTGGACGAATGCTGACTTTTTGAAAAATGCTAATGTAGCATTTAGCATTTTACTTTGGACTAGAGCAGAGAAAATGGTCCAAAGCAAGCGGCTACTCCATCTTTTGACCTGTCCTGCTTCACCCAGAGGCTACTCCATCTCTGCTGCTCTGACCCGTCCTGCTCCACCCAGAGGCTACTCCGTCTCTGCTGCTGTGACCTGAAGGACTGTGGCTGATAATTATTGTTTTTGCTTGAGAGATGTCAAATTCTGCACTTAATCAGCCTTAATTTCACCCCCTGAACATGCATGAAAAGTTGTAAAATTTTGCCCAAACGTCAGACCTGGTGAAAAAATTGATATTTTGGTGTTTATTTTTATGGGACTCAAAAAATGCCAGAACAGCGCCACCTACAACAGCCAATGGGAGTTTCAGAGGTCAAGTTTGTCGTAGAGCCATGAAATTCGGTACACATGTTCCTCAAGTCAAGATAAGACCAAAATGTTATCATGGCTATCATGTTATCAAACAGGAAGTCCATAAATTTCACTGCAAAATGGAAAAATGAAAACCAATCATTTTCATACATGTCGGTTGGAAAGCAACTCCTCCTCGGCCGTTTCACCGATTGGCCTCAAAATTGCTCTAAATCTATCTATCTATCTATCTATATCACACACAAGTGACTCCCCGTTAAACCACTTTCACATGGGATGGACAACTTTGAAGCGTTACATGGATTTAGTAATACTTTTTTGTGGTAACACTTAATAATAACTACACCTTAGTTAGGCTTAATAAATGTTTATATAACACTTAATTAATCATGAACAATTTATTTATTTATTGTGACCAACACTTAATAACTACTTTACTAAAGTTAATAAATGAATGCATCTTAAAGTACTTCACTTGTTCATTATTATTTAATAATTATGAAGTAACCATTTGTTACTACATAAATAGATGGTTTGTTACACCATGATTAAACCACATGTTAATGAATAATAATTGCATACATGATTATAAACTAATACTGCAGTGCATAATTTATTCAGTCAGTTACTTAGTAGTGACAGTTAATTAAGGATGACTAACGTTTTTGTATAACAATAATAAGCCATGAGATATGTTTACAGAACATCTTTTAAATTGCTTTACAAAGCTCTAACAGGTCCATAACAATGAAAAAAAAATAAAAGGCCTCCAAATTGGCCCCATGAATTAAATATTCATGTAAACACGAACAGGAGGAGCATCATGAACAGATGAACATACAATGGCATATACCAGGGCCGGGAGATATGGCTGAAAACTAGTGTGGGAAACATGGGCAATACAAAAAATCTCAATATTCTTTTCCCAACTCCCGATAACGATACATGTATTGTCACAATATCTTTCAAATCAATATTTTTTACACAAAAGGATCTGTAATGTAGATTAAAATAGCAGCTTTTTTTATTTTTAAAGTGCTTCACACTTCTTTGCAAAACAAGCACAAACATACAGTGCATCCGGAAAGTACTCACAGCGCTTCACTTTTTCCACATTTTGTCATGTTACAGCCTTTTTCCAAAATGTTTTTTTTTAGATTCTTGCAAATTTATTAAAAATAAAAATAAAACTAAGAAACATATGTACATAAGTATTCAAACCCTTTGCTTAATACTTGAAAACTTTCTTTTTGACAATGATGTCAAAAGCTTGGCACATGTCTTTGGGCAAGGCAAGTTTATTTGTATAGCACAATTCATACACAAGGCAATCCAAAGTGCTGAACAAACTAAACTAACTCACTATATTTTTGTATTCATTACTAAAATGCTGTCCATGTCCATGTAGTGCATTGGGATATACGTCCTTTTGAAGAAAAAGTAGCGCAGATTTGTGCTGGCGTGATATTATATTTTAGATCGAGTTTTGATGAAACAAGGAAGAAAATGGGTCTCGAGACCAGATTGTGACCAATCACAGCGGACCACTAGCCCCCACTTTCGTGAGAAATCTACAGGTCCCTGTTAGCATAGACAGCTGAGTTAGCACAACAAGCCGAGGAGCTAACATGAAGCTTCGTGTCTTCGTCACCGGTTACTGCTTACACAGCGAGACATCCATCCAAAAGAAAGTCCCGTTCCTCCGCGCTTCCCGGTTCTATCGTTCTATGGTCACGCCATCCACGTTCAAATCCATGTCCATGATTCTATCCATATTGGGAGACGCTAGCTCCGTCAACAACAGTGGGTGTGTGTGGGGGGCGATAGCTTCGTGGGTGCGGGGAGGGGAGCAGAAAGAGCGAGGCCAGCGAGTCCGCGGCTTCAAAATCCCAAAGTCCGTTAGTGCAGCTTTAAAAAGAAAGATAAACTGTTTTCAACATTGTCTTAAACATTGTCAGAGAGGAAGCCTGTCTCACATCTTCAGGAAGATGATTTTGGAGTAATGTAAGGCAACTGTGTCATATTTGACGTTGCAATGTATTTTAAATTACCAGAAAGAAAATAGTGTTTGTTTTCATACTATGCCTCCGCAAGATAAGCAGTGGCTAGCACAACACTGGTCCTAGTGTTTCCTGGTGTCTGTGTATCCTGTTGTTTGCTGGTGTCTCCTGGTGTCTGTGCTTGCTGGTGTCTCATGTTGTCTCCTGGTGTCTGTGTTTCCTGTTGTCTCTTGGTGTCTATGTTTGCTGGTGTCTCCTGGTGTCAGACGGGCCCTGGCTCCGCTGCGTCTCAGGGGAACTCTCTGATTCATGGGCTGCAGATTTACGAGGCGTCCGTGGCTCCTGGGGGCCTGGCTGTTTGTTTGTGAACTGGGGGCCGTCGTGTCCAAACGTCGTTAAAAATAAGATATAGGACGTATTTACACAATTAGAACACGGTGAGAAGCAGCGATCCATCATCGCTTCATTAAAGTGTCCCAAAGAAATGCTGAGCCTGATCCAGAACAAGACTCAAATGTTTACACACCTTATTCATAATTCTGTGTATTTTTAATGATTATAATGCAATGGTTTTATACAGCACTTTTATGGACACAAATTTCTTCACATGTCATACACTGTGGTTATAAACTACTACTGTAGCCACAGCTGCCCTGTCCTCAGGACACAGGGAGACCAGGACCGACTTGTCCTCAGACCACAGGGAGACCAGGACCGACTTGTCCTCAGACCACAGGGAGACCAGGACCGACTTGTCCTCAGACCACAGGGAGACCAGGACCGACTTGTCCTCAGACCACAGGGAGACCAGGACCGACTTGTCCTCAGACCACAGGGAGACCAGGACCGACTTGTCCTCAGACCACAGGGAGACCAGGACTTGGTGAGGAGGCCTCCCCTGGGGGTCTGTTTGAGGACAGTGTGATCAGGACCATCACATCAGGAGAGGGAGCAGCAGCTGTACCTGGGCGAGATTTAGTTATACGAAAGGCTTTTATGAGTTGATCCTGTCTGTATCGACTGTAAGATAAAAACTTTTGTTGGGTCCAGATTGGTGAAAATGTTGCAGCAAACAAACAGCACAGGAGGAAAAAGAAGCAGACAAATATCTGTCAATGCTTTTACCTGAGCTTTAAAATCTGAAGCTAAAGCAATATGATACACTTTAGGAACAATATTGATTATTTTGGAAAATATATGCTTCTTCAAAATATGAATTTGCCGGATAAGGGCAAAAAAAGTAACATGTTGGTACAAAAGTCACATCCTACAGAACAATATTACACACAGATAAGTAGCAGGATTCAGTCTGACTGCAGCAGGAGTAAGTAATGTTTATTTATATAGCACATTTTACAGACCGAGGTCACCTACAGGGTTGTACAATGTTCAGAAATCAGATATTTTTTTCATTCTTTCCACGTCGTGATGATGGAAGCGAGACGCAGAACACACTGACGCATTAAAGCCTCCAATTATCTCCATCCATACATACACGTCACATTCATACCGATT